TTTTTTTTTTTGCAGTTTTTTTTCTTCACTTTTTGCTCTTTTTTTATTTTTATTTTCTCTTTTGTCCTACGAAATTTTTATTCAACTTTAGCTTAAACGGATTTGACACGCATTAAACAATTAGTGAATGACAAGTTGACAGTTTCATCGTTCAAGTTCTATCGTCGATAGAGCCCACTTACACTTCCAACACTTTACTTCCTTCTGCTTTTCAGGGGAAAAAAAAAGCTTTTAGTAGATTATTTGCAGATTTTTTTTTTTGTGCAATGCCATCTATTTTATCTTAAGTTTTTTTTTGCTTAAGAAAAAAAGCAACAACTTTACGGCATTAAGCGTATTGCATTTGAATAAATTTAAGGAGGTAATTTAAAGGCTTAGTGGGAGCTAAACAGATTGGTGGAAAAGGGGAAAAAGAAAATTTATCAGAAATGGAACAATTTTTTTTTGACTTTAAATGCTTTTCAAGTAGTAAATTGGTGTCATTTTACCGAATTTAGTTACCCTCCTGCGGGCAGCAAAAAAAAAAATTTTTTTTGCTCATAATAATGGAAAAACAGTTCCGAAAATTGCTGTCACTTTTAAACAAATCTCCTCACCCTTTCTTCCGCACTAGAAAAAAAACCCATCAATAACATAACTGTTTTTATTTTTGATGTTTACCCCCGTTTCGGTGGGGTTCATCTGTTGAAGATAAAGGCTGTTGAGAGAGAAGCGGAAAGGAAGTTGTTGGTTAAAAGTGAGTTGGTTGAGGGAATGACATTAAATTCACTAAATGGCCTGAACAAAATTTCGAAAAAAAAGCTTACTGGCTAATAGAAGGTATATATTGTTGTTCATTAAAGTCTAAAACTCTAAGTGTCAGAAAAAAATGAAAAGAAAGAAGATTTAGGAAGGTTTAAAAAATTAAGGAATTGCAACGTTTGCTGAGTTGTTTTTGGAGGAACAGAACTGACTTAATTAAATGGCATCTGGTTGTTCTGTTGGTTGATTTTTCGGGATTTCTGGTTTGGTTGCTGAAAAACCAATCCACAGTTCTGTTTGGTAGCCGTACAGCAGTAGAGTACAAATTTTAGGTTTATGATGAGAGTTTTGGTTAGTTGAACCTTAATAAGCTTTTAAAGTGCTGTAAAAGCTGTTGCTGTTAAATTTTTTTAATGATACATTTAAATTATTAGCATAGTGATGGTGACGACGACAACAACGACGATGAAGTTGCTGATAATGACGGCTGCTGCCGTTGTTGTTGTTGCTTATGATGGTCATTTTTTGGATCCAAGTTGATTACAATGAAGGAATTATCAGTAAAAATTGTACTATTACTTCACTGCAAAAAATTTCTTGTTTTTTTCTTTACTAACTATTCTTTTTTTGTTTTTTTTTCTTTTTTTCTGGTTTGATTGCTTGTTACAGAATCTTTTTTTCGACTGTTTTGAGTAGAAGGAAAAGGGAGAAAAAAGAAACTTGCAAAGTGAATAAATGGCCAAAATGGTGCTGTTGAAGAAACGTTTTGGGAATTCTAAGCTTGTTGGTTTTGGTTTAAGTGCTTTCTCTAAAAAATAAAATTGGAAAAAAAAAAGAGAAAAAAGAAAGAAACTTGTCTCTTTTTGGCGTAGAATTTGAGAAGAAAAAAAAAGAAGGCAAAAAAGTGCCTCTCTTTACTTAAATTTATGGCAACTATAGTGTGTGTTATTAGTGTTATTATCATTATTGTTTTGTATTTGTATTAGTATCATTACTAAATTGTTCAATTTTTTTTTTTGTTGTCAGTTAGCTAAATTTGTCTATATTTGATTAGTAGTGACAAAGATGACAGCGGTATATGTTGGGGATCGGCATAGCTGATAATTGGTAAATGAAATAATTTGATTTGAAACGATCATTTATTAGCAGTTTTTTGGTGGAAAGATTCATTGTTTTTTTTTCTGCCCTCATTTTTTTTTTTTTTGCTTTTTTTCTTCTGTAATTAGATGTCTTAAAAATATAGCTTACTGTAACAGAGGAAGCAGAATAACAGGGGTCCTGGACTGCATAGAAAATATTGAAACAATTTTAGTGTTTTTTTTACTACCAGATATTAAATCCATGAACCAAGATGAGAAGGAAGAGAATAGCCAAGGGAAAAAGCAAAACCAAAACAAAAAAAAGAACATAATTTTTTTGTCAATCAAAATAGAAAAAAACAACAGTCAATCTGTTTAGTGAGTCTTGAAAAGACGAAAAGAATGTCATCGTTCTTTTCATCGTTGCCTTGTTGGAAATGATGGTGAAGATAATGATGACAACCGATGGCGATGGTGGTGAAGAGGATGATGACGATGACGATGTTGTTGGTGGTGTCGATGATCGCGTTACTGTTACTGGGGTTTGGCGGTAGCAAAAATCGTTAAAATCTTTTTTGTCAGTAATGTTTCGGTTTTTTTGTTTCAAAACTTTAATTCTACTAAGTTCTTTTGGTTTAAAAAATTTTTGTTACTTAGAAACCTGAATCCATCTTTCGTTTTCTTCTAGTTTTCTGCCTCTTCTCTCCCTTCCTCTCCATCTTTTTCATCATTTGCGACGCAGAGTTAGTTGGAGATAGCAAATGAAAGAATGTATACGTAAACATTCAGACAACGACTGACATGCTGAGAAGGAGGCGAAACGTTGGTTTGCCGAGGTCGAGCAGTTCCACTAAATATGGTGAATAAATCTGGGGAGGTCGGAGGCAGGGAAGGAGGGGAGGAAGGGAGAGGGAGAGGGAGGAGTAAGGGGAAGAAAGAATAGTGGATGGAATTCTTAGATCAGCTCCCTGCCTGTGATAATGTGTATTCTTTTATGTTTTCTTTTCTTTTTTCTTTGTTTTTGCTTGCGAAAACAAAAGTCAACAAATCTGTTGTTACACAATCTAAGATTC